TCAGATAAAGGCTGAGGCTTCAGATCCATTACTGGCTGAGAAATGCGTCAACATAAAATAGTGTCAGTCAATGCTAGTGCAGGGTAGACTAGTGCAGTTACCATCTCCCTTAGCTAGGAAAGGTGAGAGCTATGGGGAATCAGAAATCCTGCAATATCTACAGCAGGAGAAAGAATGTCAAGGTTTTCTAGGTGATGTTTCAGTGCAACACCGAGCATTCTTTACTACTGGCAGCTGGCATCATTACTAGAGAGGATGCCAAGTGAAGGCTGCTGCTGAACAACTGCAAACACAACTAAATGTTTATTACAGAAGAGTTGCCATTCTCCCATGCAGTTCATGGGCCACTTTCCATAATCCTTGGGTGCCCTCATTCTCGAAATGGTGAGATCTGTCTGGCATTTGTTATTGTTAAGAGCCATCAAGTAAACTTTGACTTCTAGTGGCCCCATTAATAATAGACCCCCAAGTCTTTCTATCAACAGCTTTGCTTAAGTCTTGTACTCAGGGCAGTGGCTTCTTTGATTGAGTCTATCCATCTGGATAGACTATTTCTACTGACTCTGCCTTAACAAACATTTTTCTTAGTGGAACATGTTCTTATGATATGGCCAAAGTACAAGAGTCTCCATTTAGGCCCCTTCCACACAGTTGTATAAAATCCACATTGTACCAAATTATATGGCAGTGTGAACTCAGTTCAAAGCAGATATTGTGGATTATCTGCCCTGATTCTGGATTATATGGCTGTATAGAAGGGCTCTTAGTCATTGTAACTTCTTAATTTCCTCGACTATTTTTCTTTTTAGCAGCCCATAGTATCCATAGAACTCTTCTCCTGCACATTTCAAATGAATTGATTTTCTTCCCACCAGCTTTCTTCACCATTCAACCAATCTGTCTTTTACGCCTTCTAAACAACCTACTGAAAATTTGATTTTCCCCATCACAGTATATACCAGATCCCAGCACAAGAGGGAGTACTTTAATGAAAGATCTTTCACACAGAATAGGGGAAAGTGGCATCTCAATGACTTCAAAATGTAAACAATTAAGAATCTGAACTGGATTTTGGCTGGAGAAGCCACAGCTTCCTATCATCTTGTTTCTTTTTTATTAATTTTTTCCAGTTGATACATCTCGACAATTAACAAAGTTTTGCAATATAAGCCTCATCTCAGTATACATTATTCCAAAATATTCCTTCAATGGCACTTCATACATTCCTTGGATGTGTAACGTGCCATTAAGGAATATTTACTTTTGGACTAATGTGTACTGAGATAAGGCTTGTATGGCAAAACTTTGTTAATTGTCGAGATGTATCAACTAAAAAATAATAAAAAATAATCTTGTTTCAAAAATGCTGATGGGAATTTTGGAGATCAACAAAAGCATGAAGGCCCAGATACAACCAAAGGTGTATGTTTGTGAACAATATATAACCTCATCCACACTGTGGAGTAAATAAATATTCCAATATTTCTAAAGATAGTTAACAGATAGCAAACTAACATTTTATTAACATTTATTTCTGTAAAAGATGTAAGATGAGTTGACTCAATTATGTCACACATACAGAACAAGATTTTTTTTAATCAAACTCAACATTTCCTAATGACAAAAATAGTCAATTGCAACAAAAAGGAGGTTATCTTGTACAGAATTCTTAGTTTACACAGACTAGCAAACGTGTGCAAAGAAAGGTATGCAGTACAATTCCATTAAAATTATATTTCAGAATAGTTGTCATTCTTGTACCTTTGAGGGAAAAAAAGATGAAAAGTAATAAAAATTCTTAGCCTCCATCTTCCCACGAAATGAACCATCTTTTCAACAAGAATCACAGTTATAATCCTTTTACGCAAGGGGCTTCCTTTTTGAACTTCAGTAGACTGCAGTATGTTGGTGTGCTGAAAATTACAGTAGCTCTAATTAAATGCAATTAACAAAGTTCTCACGGGGAAAGGAATGCCTGCTAAACCTACTTAAGTCTATCAAGTGGATAATTGACTAAGCAATGCATTTGTTTTAAGCTTTGCCTGAAAAGACAGCAAACAATGACAACCTCATCTCAAAACACCATACATTACCAGATGGGGCCTTCAAAACATTGAACAATGTTTTTTCTTAAACTACAAGTCTTAGAATCCCCCGATGGCTGGGATATTCTGTGAAAAAAGGAACTTTTCAAAGCTCTGCACTCTGTATGGTAACATTTTGATACGCTTGTAATGGGAATATTTGTAATTGGGTGCTAGGAACATCTTAAGTACATCCTCATTGTGAGAACTTTCTAAATGCAAATTGCACTCGTAGGTACTTCAAATGGCATGAACTTTCCCTGCTGTTCTTTCTTCAGCTCGTGTTTATGATCACTGGCAAATAGAACAAAATAAAAACCCGGATGCTGCAGGGACAACCTCTTCCAAACTTCTATTTCAATTTCTCCGAAGTGTTGCCGTCTTGCTGTTCAACGAAATGCTTCAGCATTAAATGGCTAGGAATTATGTAGACCAGTGGTTCTCAACCTGTGGGTCCCCAGATGTTGTAGCCTTCATTTCCCAGAAATCCTAACAGCTGGTGAACTGGCTGGGATTTCTGGGAGTTGTAGGCCAAAACACCTGGGGACCCACAGGTTGAGAACCACTGATGTAGACAAACATGATGGAGGAACCAGGTTGGCAGAACGTAAGGTTAGTTCATATAAAGTTTTCTGAAAAGTACTGTTGTCACACAAGGAATTTTAAAGCCCCAGTTTTATGAAGGGAAACTTTGGCAAAGTCAAAAACATGCACAATTTGCAGTGTCAACCAGAAATCTTGGGAATGCATCTGTCTCTCTGATACAGTTAAGTCCACTAAATTTTACACAACATACATTCTTGGTTCTGCTTAGGAAATGATATAAAACCAGTGGGAAAAGCAGGCAGAAATGAGCTGTTGGATGTCTATAGACTGTGGGAAGAAAGGCATTTATGAACCCCTCACTGCTTAAATATTAAAAGATTGCATTTGGTAACCAAGGAAGACAGATCATATGAAACCAATGAGCTAAAATCTCCAGTATCCTAAGAAACAACTGTATGAATCCACATGACGATCATCTCAGGAATTCATGTTATCAACTTGCCCCTTGCAACTGCATCTTTAATACTGAAGCGGCACCCCAAGGCAATCTCCCAAGTTGTGGCCACATAATGTCAAACAAAACACAATTATGAAAGTTAAAGATTTACTCTGTTGGAAGTAACTACTAATTAAAAAGGCAGGTTGACCCTGGAAAATTCCAAAACAACTTTATGGATGGTTCCCCCTGCAACCGATAAAATCCCATCAAGTTAAACGGAAAGGGGGGGGGGAGCGGGACACATTTGTAGGATGCACGCTTTTTTGGGTGTGTGAAAAAGAAATCTTTATGTTAAAGATTATGTTAAAAGACTTGGGAGGTAACCTCAAAGACAAGAAAGCAAGCAATAGTATTTGAATGAGACTTTTCCCTTCAAGACCACTTTCCAAAATGAAAAGTATCAATGAAGTACAGGAAGATTTCCTCTACTAGTGAACAGTGCAGAAAACTTCATAGGTAAAACAAAATAAGGCTGGAGATGGACGAGTGCTTTTCAGAGTTGAAGGTATTTTGCAAAGAAAGAGATAATTATTTTCTTTAGGAAGTTTTAGATCCAGGCTATTTGTCTAATTGCATCTCTCTATACATTCCATCCCATGCACTGCGGTCAACGGAGGAGGCCCTCCTCTCAGTCCCACCCCCGTCACAAGCCTGTTTGGTGGGAACGAGAGAGGGGGGCCTTCTCCATGATCGCTCCCTGTCTCTGGAACTCCCTCTCTAGGGAGGAAGTATAAATGATCCCCATCCTTCTCCTTTAAGAAACTTCTAAAAACACATCTATGTACTTTAGCATATGGAGAGGAGGAGGACTGAGACACTTTAACTACTTGGAATGCTAGCCAGTTCTACTTGTACTATATGGCTGCCATGTTCTAATGAACACTAGCGCCAACAATTTTGAATGTAACTGTATTTTAAATTACTTTTAGGGTGTTTGTTGTAACAGTTACTTATGTTTCAGTTAACTATGTCTTATTAGATTGTTTTATTTTTCATCACAATGCTTAAATCTTCATCATAAGCTCACTGTTATTACAGTTGCTCTACTGTGTATTATTTTGATACACTGATACTCACCTGAGGCATTGAATGCTTGCCTTTTTTGTGTATGTAAACTGCCCTGAATCCCTTCGGGGAGAGAGGGCAGTCTAGAAATAGTTTTATTATTATCATCATCATTATTGTTATTATTTATTATCTTCTACCATGACTCTATGATCAACTTTCACTGGAAGTTTGCCCCAGAATTGCACCGGAGGACCTAGATATTCCAAGAGAGATATTCTCTCTTAAAATCACGAGGTCCTCAAGCAATGACTGGAGGAAGCTGAACATAATTGACAATTAGAATTTACATATCCTAAATCATTTTAAAACTAAATCCATGAATAATCAAATCTGCAAGAGTCAAAACTTCAAATGTAGAGGGAGAACTATATAGGTATTCAAACCAGAACTTTGGGAAGAAGGTAGCAGAACTCCCATAGTTGCTCCCAACCACAATCCTTTGAGAATTTCACCCCCCACCCCAACATCTTTAAATCCTTTTGGTCAATGATAAACATTAAAAAGAAGTGAAGGAAGTTACCTTCTACAACATGAAAAGCACTGTTTTTCAAAACTATCATGTATTCCCAGTCTGAGTATATATTCAAGTTTAAATACATCTCAGTGGAAACCAATACATGTCTTTCTCCTGAATTGATTGTTATGCTTCATAGGTACTGAAATGGATACCTATGATGTAACTACTGCATGTTTTTATATGAATATAGGTAGCAGAATAATAATAGAATTGTCTCGTTCAGCACTATTTGTGCTGCCTTTCTGTTACAGTGAATGTAAGCTGAATACATTTTACCACACAGAGAACCAGTTGAATGACTCTTTTTATGTGCCGTGAAGCTGGAAGCGCAACTTTTCCAAGACAGTGTTAACTCTTAACTTAATACATAACAACTTTGTGTAAGTCTAGATGTGGGACAAGAACAACGTTATTCATGTCCCAAATTTCAGCAGGCACTTCACAAAAATGACTTTTCAAAAAGACACAAAGATAATTATTCCCATAAAATAATTCTTAATACATAACAACTTTGTGTAAGTCTAGAAGATGTGGAACAAAAACAAAGTTATTCATGTCCCAAATTTCAGCAGGCACTTCACCAAAACGACTTTTCAAAAGCAACACAAAGATAATTATTCCCTCAACCGAAGCAACCCTCAGTGTAACAGCACACACCCCATTCCTTGCATCTATTTCTTGGCATTGGAAAGCAGACAAATATTTTTCTAAAACATTCAAGAAGACACACACAATGTTTGACATTCCCCAGATTATTAACAAAAAATATTTCCCCTCAATCCACAAAACTAAGACAAACAATCAGAGGATGTTGCTTTTGGATCCATCTTGGAAAGGAAACTGTTATTTTGTTCAGTATGGTTTGGTTCAATTCTTCTACAAAGAAAGACCACGCAATGTACAGTGAGGCAGAGGGTGAGTGTGTTGCCACAGCACTGATATTACAAGGCGTGTTTTATCGTGGAAGTGATGTCTCGAATCTTCTGTATGTAACAGTGAAGTAGCGGCAATGTTTAACTAAGTTCTTCCCATTAAAAACATTTGCAAAAGTGGTCATTGAAAAAGGCAACAATTGTGTAGTCTCTTTCGAGCTCTTCATCTGAAACACTCTGAAGTATCCCGATGGTGATACTCACAGTCTTGCTGGGAGGTGGACATCAAGAAACGAATTAGACACTGTAGTAAATTGTCATCAATTTTTTACATTAAGGCCTATTTTGCGGGATGCTTGTATGGGGGAGTTTCACCTTTTGTTTCTTTTGAGAACTGACTTTAAATGATGGCATCATGTTCATCACTGCAAAAAGAAAAGACAATATATTAGTATACTAGCCGTCCCCTGCCACGCGTTGCTGTGGCCCAGTCTGTGTATACGTGTGTGTATATATTTGTGTATATGTGTGCTTGCATGTATGTGTGTGTAGATATATATATATGGTTTTATGCATGCATTGTAATGTAATTTTTGTTTTTTGCCTTTTAAAATCTCTTCTGCTGTGCTTTTCAGTGTTTTTATGAGTGATGGTCACTTGTTGGCCTGATAGGTGTATTGTGTCCAAATTTGGTGTCAATTCGTCCAGTGGTTTTTGAGTTATGTTTATGCCACAAACAAACATTACATTTTTACTTATATAGATGGTAAGTAACGCCTGAATCTTCAGTAATAACAATTGGGCAAGTGGGTTTATTAACAAAAGACCCTCCTTATAAATGCACAGCAGAGTAACATAGAAACATGACCCAGCACCAATAGCCCAAAGTGCTAAAAAGAACAAAAACACACTGACCAATGTTATCTCTTCCATAGTAGGGAAATAATATGGTTGCACTATTTACAAAAACAATTTTTCCATAACACAAATAAAGTTCAACCTTCACAATGGAGCTTCACACGTGAGGCCTTCTCATAATGAGGCTTACTTCACACTCAGGCCTACTATCAATGAGGTCTATTCACCCACTGAGACGATCTCTCACACAGAGAAGTTTCTCTCACACAGAGAGGTCTCTCAGACTTCTTTTTTTCATGGCACAAGTGACTTGAAAAACTACAAGTTCCTTCTGGTGTGTGAGAATTGGCCATCTGCAAGGACATTGCCCAGGGAACACCCTGATGTTTTGATGTTTCACCATCTTTGTGAGAGGCTTCTCTATAGACTTGAGGAATTACTAAGCAACAGGCACACCTGCTTATATTGAACCGCAGCTTTGCTAAACCATTGCATAGATTTAACTCTTTCAGTACTTGACTCACATTTCTGTAATTAAAAATACCTAATTAATTGTTAATATTTCTGACAATAACAAAGGTTGAAATTAATTATTACGTAGCCTCCTTGGACTTTAATCTGTTCTGGCAAAGACCTATAACTGAGATTACAATTGATAACTAGTCTTCTAGGTCTTTTTATATCAATATCAATCTCAGCAAATGTATCAATCTATATCAATCTCAGCAAATGTGGGATTATGGGAATATTAAGTCAAAAATTGAGGAGGTGGCCCATTGTTGGATCCCTAACAACTCTGGAGTTATGCTGCACATGTTAGCTTCACCACTTACAGTTTGCTACTGGGTTTGTAATGTGATCCAAAGTACTCGAAATACAAATCCTCATTCAGACACAAAGTTTGTCTTCGGCCTTTCGCTATTTCTCAGATTTGTCTACTACACAGGGCGATTAGAAGGATAAGAGTGATGAATCTACTCCAAGGTCAGGATAACTGAAGATTGTGACTGTGATGAAGCAGGGGAGTAAAAAAAAAATCAATAATGGAAAATATTGGAAATTTGCATTGGCTCCAGGAAATGATTCTGCAGAAGAGGAATATGGACAATGTTGAAGACATACATTCCTTATTTAGTGAGGGGATTTGACGACAATCGAAAGCTCAAAGATGCATCTACTAAAAACTACTATATTTAAGATTTCAGCTGTTCCACTTCCCACATGGTCTTTCCTTTTTATTTCCTATCTGATCCTATTTATTTGAGAATAATATTCAGAGATTGGGCTGTTGAGGCTATACTAACCAATTAATGAACAGCTCTACAGACTGAGCAGATTGCAAGGAAGATGATGATAATATTTATTTATAGCTCACTTTTTCTCCCCATAGGGAGACTCAATGTGGTGATGGGCAGAATTAATCCAGGTTGACACATTAACTGCCATGACTCAATGCTATGGAATCCTGGGAGTTGCAGTTTTACAAGGTCTTTAGCCTTCGCTGCCAAAGAGTCCTGGTGCTTCACCAAAGTACAAATCTCAGGGTTCCATAGAACTGAGCCATGGCAGTTAAAGTGTTGTCAAACTGCATTATTTCTAAAGTGTAGATGCATCCTAGGAGCCCCTGGTAGCGCAGTGGGTTAAACCGCTGAGCTGCTGAACTTGCCGATTGAAAGGTTGCAGGTTTGAATCCGGGGACCGGCGTGAGCTTCCGCTGTTAGGCCCAGCTTCTGCCAAACTAGCGGTTTGAAAATATGCAAATGTGAGTAAATCAATAGGTACCGCTCCAGTGGGTAGGTAACGGCATGCTATGCAGTCATGCCAGTCACATGACCTAGAAGATGTCTATGGACAATGCCGGCTCTTCGGCTTAGAAATGGAGATGAGCACCAACCCCAGAGTCAGACACAACTGGACTTAATGTCAGGGGAAAATCTTTTCCTTTACATTAACCTAGATGCATCCTGAGATAGAAAAGTAAATAGGTACTATAGGATGCAAAACTGTTGAAAGGAGACAAAGTAAAAGGTGTCCTACAGGACACACAATTTGGCTAGTGATTTCATCATCAATACCTCCATGATGAATGCATAGAGGTATTGCCTCTATGCATTCATCCCAACAGATACGTTGCAAGGACATGAGAGAATAGAAACAATGGAAAGACTAAAGAGCTGTTGTTAAGAAGGAAGTAGGAGATGAGACAGCTGTCTAGACAAGACAAGGAATGCAACGTCAGGTATTTATCTCAAGAACCTGCTGAATGTTATGAGAAGTATAGTCCAAAAGGTAATTTTCCAAGTTCTGCACAGAGTTCAACTTGAGAGCATCAACAGCAAAGCAAGACAGTCAGCAGCAGATGGACCCTGAGAATAAATCCTGCAGGTGGCCTAACATTCCTTGCAGAAATTGGAGCCTATGGCCATATGGGAATCCACAACTGCAAAAACAAAAAGATAAAACAGGATCTGAACTTCATTGTATAGAATGGAAATGCCAGTGGTATTTACAACAAGCCACTTCCTCCTTTTTATTACAGGTATTTTAAATAAAACAAAAAAAACAAAATATAAATGAACAAAAAATGAACTATACCACCAAGATTAAAGAGCTTTCAGAATGAAAACTGCAAAGGGGAAATGCTATTCCCGTTTGGGATCAGACTACGTGCATAATTGCAAGATGTGTGTTTTGTCAAAAGTAGCAGGGGGTACGGAAATTTGCAGCTGATCAGCAAAGAGAAAAGGTACAAGTCTAGCAAGTGGCTAAAATAGTTCAAAAGACGGGATGTTGCAGAGGATCTACACTTTACTGAGGTTGACTAAATCAAAGGAAGTCATCTCAGATCAAGAGAAAAGCTCTCATTGTTAGAAACTATTACAAAGTTAGTGCAACTTCCCCACTACTACAAGGGAGTGCTACACTTGATTTAACAGGAAGAACCATCACCACAAAAAATCACAGTTAGAAGAAAGACAAGGAAGGGCATTTAGACCACGTTCGTATGCTTTCCTGTTACAAAGACTCTCAAGGAGTTGAGTAAAAGAGAATATTTATTGCTCCAGTTTTAGAGATAAGACTTAACTTCTACTACAGCCTCTGCCACTTATAGTACTGTGTGAGTTTGTATGTCCATCAGCGGTTTGTGTTTTCGGTTTTACTCTGTTGTAATTTGTTGCAATTTGTTGTAATTTGGGCAAGATGGATGGATGGCATCCTTGAAGTGACTGGACTGACCTTGAAGGAGCTGGGGGTGGTGACGGCCAACAGGGAGCTCTGGCGTGGGCTGGTCCATGAGGTCACGAAGAGTCGCAGACGACTGAACAAATGAACAACAACAATTTGTTGTTTGGGCTTGGCCCCGAATCCCCATCGGGGAGATGGTGGTGGAGTATAAATAAAGATGATGTTGATGATGATTATTATTGTACAAATGTAACAAAAGGATATTTGCATATCATTGGTAGGGTACACATGGTGCTTTTGGAGTCCACTAGAATCACAGATTTACTTTATTTATTTATCATGTCAGAAGTGAATTGAGAGTACAGTTATACTGTATTTAAAAACACAAATCAAGTTAAAAACATGGCCTTATGCTAAATGTCCTTTGACCAGAAGCTGGCCATTTGGGGTGCCTCTGGTGTTGCTATAAGAAGGTCCTCCATTGTGTGGCAGAGCTCAAGACTGCATTGTAAGAGGTCTGTGGTTTGCTCTGCTCCACACACTCACATGTCATGGACTCTACTTTGTAGCCCCATTTCTTAAGGTTGGCTCTGCATCTCGTGGTGCCAGAGCGTAGTCTGTTCAGTACCTTCAAAGTCACCCAGTCTTCTGTGTGTCCAGGAGGAAGTTTCTCATCTGGTATCAGCCATCGATTGAAGTTCCAGGTTTTACCTGCCACTTTTGGGGTCTTGCTTGTTGAGGTGTTCCTGCAAATATCTTTGTAGATCTTAGAAAACTATTTCTTGATTTAAAGCATTGGCATGCTGGCTTATCTTCGAATAGGGGATGGGTGGAGATATCACTGTCCTAGTCCTTTCATTATTGACTGCTACTTCCCGGTGGATGTCAGGTAGTGGAATACTGGCTAAACAGGATAGTGGTGTGGGGTGTAGACATCCTGTGATAATGTGGCATGTGTCATTAAGAGCTACATCCACTGTTTTAACAAGGTGAGATGTTTTCCACACAGGGCATGCGTATACAGCAGCAGTGTAACGAAGTGCAAGGGCAGGTGTCTTCACTGTATCTGGTTGTGATCCCCAGTTTGTTCCAGTCAGCTTTCTTATGATATTACTTTTAGCACCCACTTTTTTCTTGATATTCAAGCAGTGCTTCTTATAAGTCAAAGCAAGGTCCAGAGTAACTCCCAGGTATTTTGGTGTGCAGCAATGCTCCAGTGGGATTCCTTCCTAGGTAATCCTCAGAGTTTGAGATGCTTGTCTGTTCTTAAGGTGAAAAGAACATGGCTGCATTTAAAAGGATTAGGAATCAACTAGTTTTCCCTGCAATAGGCAGTAAGAGCACCTAAAGCTTCAGAGAGGTTCTGTTTAACAATTTTAAAGCTCCCTGCTTGGGCGTTGATGGCAGTGGCTGTTCATTTGTGTAAATATTAAACATGGATGGAGCAAGCACGCTCCCCTGAGACTACAAAACAGGAGCTTTTTTGCTGAGTTTTGTTTTCTGGTGAAAACAGAAAAACAGCCTGCCTCAGGGGATCACAGAAGATAGGAACATAGGAGAAAGCTTTCTAGCAAGTGAGGTCATAGAATCATGGAGTGGAAGCCATCCCCTGCTATGCACATAACCAACACATAATCAAAGCACTCCCAACAGATGACCACTAAGCCCCTGTTTAAAAATCTCCACAGAAGGAGCCTCCAACATGCTTCAAGGCAGCATATTTCACTGCTGAACCGCTCTTACCATAAGGAAGTTCTTCATAAACTCTTTTCTGCAATGTGAATCCATTGTTCCATGCCCAACACTCCAGAGCATCAGAAAACAAGCATGCCCCCCTTCCTCAATATGACAACCTTTCAAATACAGTAGTTAAACATGGCTAACATGTCCCCTCTCAGCCTTCTCTTCTCCAAGTTAAAACAAACCCATATCTCGAAGCTGCTCCTTATAAGAATTGGCTTCTAGACCTTTGACTATTTTGGTCACACTTCTCTAGACACATTCTAGCTTATTAATCATTGCTCAATCTAGCTCAGGTGGTGGAGACGTGCATTTAGTGGGAGCGGTGGTGATGATGAGGATGATAAAGATGATGGTGTATCATCTTTGTGCTTACGGTATCTGTCAACAAAGAAACTCCCACACCAACTTACATGGTCCGATACTGAACACCCCTTTTGGAATGGTAGGTTTTGCATCCAACGTAGCCAATCGCCAGAAGCCCTAATGTCAGCAGAATGCCTCCTATAAAGCTGGCAGCACTGAAACCTGATGGTGATGCTTGAGCGGCCGCAGCTTTTGGAGTTACTAAAAGACACACAAAAATACATCAATACATTTCTGCTGCAGTGTGTATCTTCCAGCACATTCAACAAATTCAGCTCATTTAATTCCCTTCAACAAAAACCCTTTATCATGCTTGATAGAACTTGCAGAAAAAAAACTACTCGGTTCAGTTCAGACTATTCTTTTTTTAAAAAAGGGATCTCATTAACCTCCTTTTAACTTTGTAGTACCTCAGACAGTTTTGGGGGCATTCTTACCTTACTATACTTTGATTTGGGAGTTTAATCAGTTGTAAAAGTATCTTCCAAAATCTTATTTCTCTCTCTCTATGGCAGTGGTTCTCAACCTGGAGTCCCCAGATATTTCTGGCATACGACTCCCAGAAATCCCAGCCAATTTACCAGCTGTTAGGATTTCTGGGAGTTGAAGGCCAAAACCATCAGGTTGAGAACCAATGCTTTATAGGGCAGATAAGTTCCAGTACATCTTAGGTGGCTATTAGGAGGTAATTCCCATCTTCTTTATATATGTTAGTGTGGATCTACTAGTTGCTTCTTTTCAAAGAAACAGCATCAACCCTCTTAAGTTGGAGGCTGGTGAAACCTTTATTTAGGTTGTTCTCTATAACCCTTGAGCAAGTGTTGGGATACTTGGCTCTTGACCACAATGAATAGTTTGTTTCTTTATTCACAATTTTGTTTTTATAGTGCCTTTGAAATAACAATGCAGTTTTCTATTAAGTCTCTTCCTGTGCACGTGTTAAGACACCAACTCAAAAATGAATGTGAAGTGTAAACCTACACCCATATAGATACTTAGTGGTTGCAACATACCATCTGTTGCATACTGACATTGTGTAATCAACTGTCCATCTTTTTCTTGCTGCATTCTATACTTTGGAATATACATGGGTTATTTCTCCATTCCCATTGAACCAAGTGGTACTTTGAAGGCACAGCTAAACAGCTACACACAATTCAAGAAGGTGCAACTGTGTAGGTGGTCAATACTATCTAAAGAAGATCCATTGAATGGTGAGTCAACCTTGGTAAATTCGATTGATTTAAAGCTTCTAGTTCAGTGGTTCTCAACCTGTGGGTCCCCAGATGTTTTGGCCTTCAACTCCCAGAAGTCCTAACAGCTAGTAAACTGGCTGGGATTTCTGGGACTTGTAGGCCAAAACACCTGGCGACTCATAGGTTGAGAATCACTGCTCTAGTTGGAACTGAGCAACAGGATTTCTGCCCATATGCAGCGAATGCATAAGAACCAGCATGGAGTATGGTTTGAGTGTTGGAGTGTTGGACTAGGAAACTGGGAGACCAGGCTTCTAATCTCCATTTAGCCATACAAAACCCACGGGGTGACCTTAAGTCAGTCACACTCTCTCAGCCAGTAACACCTTTGCTTTCTGATGGTTTGATGTACATATATTTTGCTTCATATACAAAATTATTCAAAATATTGTATAAAATTATCTTCAGTGCTGTATATAAGGTGTAAATGCATCATGGCTCATCTCCAAGATATGCAAATACATGTATTTCAAACATTGAAATCTCAAACAGTCCTGGTTCCAAGCATATTGGATCAGGGAAATGCAAAATTAAAATGTGTTTTAATTTTGAGGGATTTTTCCCCCTACTGTTTAAAACAAACAACCCCTAAATAGCATCAAACTGAACTTCCAAACAGATTGGCACAAAGCAAATGTCATCCAAATAACAACACATAAAACACTTCTGAACACTTCTGAAGGGAAAGATCAGGACATACCTATCACAGTTACAGACGGCAATACTGGCTTCGGAGTTGTGATGGTCACATTAGGCTTCGCTGGTGTGGGTTTTACAGCTTCAGTAGAGACATCTTTGGGAGGAGATGTGGGTTTGGAGGTTGCAGTGGTCTTGGCAACAGTTGTGGGTTTGGCTGTGGAATTAGAAATCACAGAAGGGGCACCTGTGGTGTTCACTGCCGGTGGAGTGGGCTTGGAAGTAGCACTGCTTGTTGAAATTGAAGGACCTGTCAACATTACACAAGATATGTCAGATTACTCTGCAGCACATAGGAAAAAGAATTGCACAACACAGATATTTCAGAAAAAATAACTATACAAGTTAATTATGTACAGGAATTTAAAGGAGGTATACATCCCTTGTCTTGCAACAAAAGCTCTATAAAGCAGCAAACATTTGAACAGGGTTATACAGGAATGTATGTATATATGAACGGAGAGAGGAATATATGAGAGGAGACATGATGGCCATGTATAAATATGTGAAGAGAAGCTTGTTTTCTGCTGCCCTGGAGACTAGGACATGGAACGATGGCTTCAAACTATAAGAAAGGAGATGACACCTGAACATCAAAAAGAATTTCCTAGCTGTGAGAGCTGTTCAGCAGTGGAACTCTCTGCTCTGAAGTGTGGTGGAGGCTCCTTCTTTGGAGGCTTTTAAACAGAGAGCAGGTGGCCATCTGTTGGTGTGTGTGTGTGTGTGAGTGCTTTGAATACAATTTTCCTGCTTCTTGGGGGGGGGGGGTTTGGATTGGATGACCCACAAGGTCTCTTCCAACTCTATGATTCTACATCAAATGTGCTGCTTCTTAAAAAATCAGAAGATATGTGCCAAATGTAGAGACTTGGAACTAGGGCACCATTACCAAGAAAGTTCCAAAATTGAGCTACTATCTCCCCAAAGCAGAGCTATCTCCAGATTACCTTAAAGAATAGGCAAGTTATATGGAGATGCTAATACCGATCTGCCTTATAGAACTGTAATAAGAACAGGTGTAGAAAACAATCATCTTGCCAGACATTGTCAGCCTACAACTTCTGTCAGCCCAAGCCCATGTCTCCTCTCAGCCTTCTCTTCTTCAGGCTAAACATGCCCAGCTCTTTAAGCCACTCCTCACAGGACTTGTTCTCAAAGTCACACTGGAAGTCCTAGAGAGATACTCTCTCAGGTTAAAAATATTATGTTTTTTTTTATTTGCAAGGACTTTTGTGGGGATTCTGTGTCCTAACCTAACAAAGTTTGTTTTCTGCTGCCCTGGAGACTAGGATGCAGAAGGATGGCTTCAAACTACAGGAAAGGAAATTCCACCTTAACACGAGGAAGAACATCCTAACTGTGAGAGGAGTTCAGCAGTGGAACTCTCTGCCCCAGAATGTGGTGGAGGCTCCTTTGGAGGCTTTTAAACAGAGGCTGGATGTCCATCTGTTGGGGGTGCTTTGAATGCGGTTTCTTGCTTCTTGGCAGGAGATTGGACTGGATAGCCCACAAAGTCTCTTCCAACTCTACGATTCTATGAGGTAGTGGTAAATATTATTGGAATGCCTAGCATAACTCAAGAAAGAACATGCTTTGCACTTGAGGCCTCAGAAACCATGGATAAATATTTTAGTTCCAGTTTCACATTTTTCAACCTAAAATCTGTTCCTGTGGTTCCAGTTTCTGAACTTCTAAAACTCTTGACAGGATTTCAGGGGTTTACATACCTTTCTCCTATGATATGACATTTTTATCTCATATATTTCTGTATGAAAATCTCCTAAATATAATGAAGATCTGCATGTTATGTTTCACTAATGTGTTCATTTGATTCCTTTAATACCAATAAGCCGCCCTTGAAACTTCAGAAAACTGCAAACGTGTGTGTTTCACTTCATGCTCTGTTCCAGAAAGTCTGAACCAGGCAGTTTCACATTAAAATGCACAAATGTCTCCCCAACTTGTGATCGGACATGTGCCTACTCCCTCTGATATCTACATATAAAACTGCTGATTATAATTTAAGATGAGGAAAAAAAAACCCTGCACTTAACATTATCAGTTTCAAAGATGAGAAAAAGCAAGGTGTCAGCTAGAACTTGAGAAACCACATTCCATTCTCTCTTTCATCCTTGGCAAGCCAAACTTTGCCTCATAGTCCTCCCCATCCTTTTTGGTCCCTGTCAAATTTGTACCAAGGAGAAAAAGAAAGCATGAGGTGGGGTTACAAACATATTAAATGCAGATTTATTGATGAAGACAGCCTCATTATTTAAATGAAAAGAATGCCCTGATATCAAAAAGAGGCTTAGAGAAAAAGTATGCAAACAGAAAACTAGCAGATTAAAGGAGATGTGCTCCAGCAGAATTACGAGGGTTGAATGAAAAGTAATGCCTCCACCTTCATAACTCCTCAACAAATGGCAGTACTGGTATGCGACAGGTACTGGCTTGTTCAGTAGACTCTCCTCTACAGTTCCATTTTGACGGGAAGCCTTAGCATTGAACGGTTGTGTTGTTAAAGTGTGAAGTATGGAACCCTGCACAGATGGTTGATCAATGTGACTTAAGCAACATGCAGTCATTGAATTCTTGACAGCAGAAGGTGTCACCCCAAAGAAGATTAATCAGAGAATGCAAGCTGTTTATGGTGATTGTGTTGATGTGAGTACTGTGCACCGTTGGGCGAGTAAGTTTAAAGCTGTTGAGGTGGGAACATCTGATTTGCATGACAAACAAAGAGTTGGACGTCTTGTGATAGCAACCACAAGCAAAAGGTTGACAGACTGATCGTTGACAGGATGATCGTCGTATCACTCAGAAAGAAATTTCAAGCATAATCGGCATTTCACAAGAACGTGTGTGTCACATTATTTTTTTGCTTGGTTGTCAGAAGATCTGTTCATGATGGGTACCCAGAATGCTGATGCCTGAAATGAAAGCGCACAGACTTCTTCCATGATGGCTTCAGAAAACTTGTTCATTGTTGGCAGAAATGTATCCAGTTGTCTGTGATTATGTGGAAAAGTGAATAGTGGTAGTTAAAGAGCAGATTCTAAGGATTATTTCTGTGTTTGATTTATTAAAATATTCCCATCCAAACACAAATAACGAAGGTGGAGGCATTACTTTTCATTCAACCCTTGTATTTCCTCGTACTAGTTGACAAACACACAGCAAGGACTTGTGAGTTCTTATAGTCCAATTTTGTGGTTTATGTAAAACAGTGGTTCCCAACCTTTTTTTTTTTTTGACCAGGGACCACTCTCTAATATTACTACCAAAAGGTTTACAAATCTGTTTTGGACAGCTTTTGATTCAGTTTGGTTATTTGGGGTGCTGATTCAGAAAATTGCATTGGATAGACCCACATCAGCTCTAGTTTCTGATACAGAACATATGCCTTCCAGTAATCGCCATCTGCTCACCCACAGAAACTAAGTTTGATAATCTAGAGCAGATGTGGTAGTAGCAATCTTTCATGGACAGTCAACCTCTTCCCTCCCGACATCCCTGTTGCCTTGGCACTATAACAGGATTTCGCAAGACCAGTTGCTCTTGTTGTCATATGGTTTCGAAGCAATCATATAGAAATGGTGAGACCACTGACCATATTTTCGTTCTTACAGACTACTGGTGGTCCAGACCACAGGTTGGGAACCACTGATGCAAAACATGCAAATCCAGAGTATTCAAAAAGTTGGGTCTTCAACTTCCATTTGCAAAGAGTCAGTGTGGTGGAGTGGTTTGATCATTTGAATCCCAATTCGGATATGGAAACCTATCTGCTTTCTCCTTTTCTCTCTGCTTTGCCAGTCCTTCATGCACAGCAAGGGATTCTGGAGGCAGCCTCTGTTTATTTTGAGTGTTTTAGGTAGGCATGCACAAGAGTAAAATTGGCTAGAGCAAATCTATTTTCCACAATTCATGCACTGTAGACACAAACGTCTCCATTCCTTCAGCCAGTCTTCTTTTACTGTTCTTCCAGTGCCAAATGCTGCTAGAAAACTTCCAGCTAGACAAGAAGACAAGGAGAGAAGTGGAGCCCAAGGACTTAAAACACTTTGTAAAAAGGGGCTTCTTTGCCAGAGGTTTTGTTAACTGAGGTATGCAAATGAAGAGTGCATCTACACTAGATATGGGTGAACTTTGGCCCTCCAGGTGTTTTGGACTTCAACTCCCACAATCCCTAACAGCCAGTAGGCTGTTAGGGATTGTGGGAGTTGAAGTCCAAAACACCTGAAGGGCCAAAGTTCGCCCATGCCTGATTTACACTGTGGAATTAATGCAGTTTGACATTACTTTAACTGCCATAGCTCAATGCCTTGGAGTCCTGGGATGTGAAGCTTGATTAAGCACCAGCATTCTTTGACAGAGAAGGCCAAAGACCATGTGAAACTGCAGCTCCCATGCCTTCACAAGGCTGAGCTATGGCAATCAAAGTAGTGTCAAGCAGCTCTTCTACAGTGTAGATGCACCCTAATTTATCATTAACAGACACCATGTTTTTTTAAAAAAAAGAAAGAATTTTTCACATGACAATGTTGTCTCATACATTTCACAACAGTTGTCACGTATATAGGAATGTTAGTTTCAATCTGGAAAAGCAATGTTAAACCACAATCTTCATTTGCAGTTGGAAAACGGGAATTACAGTTGAAATGGGGGCACTGACACTAAAGTGTTGCTGCAAAATGCAACTCTAGTGCATTTTTCAGCAGCTTTTTGATTTTCAAAAAGGAAGTTGTGGAGAACATTGTAAACAGAACAGCTGCGGTTTCAGAAATGAAACTGCACGCATCCCCAAACAGGTTTCATCATGTTCTTTTGATGCAAGCACTTGTTTAATGGCCTCCAAAATGTAGTTCAAACCAGTATTGCTTAATACTGAAACACCGCAGGGCTTTTTCATTGAAGTACTCACCTTGTCGCAAGTAGGAATGTCAGCTCCTTTGCAAAGCATGGATGAAATACAGGAATACATGAAACACATTTGCCAACCAGACTTTAAAGGCAGATAAAGCAACCCTCCAAAAGAGGACAGACTTGACAGAGTTTTATTGAATGCATGATTTCAATACTTTCTTTTATTTATATACATATACACATATACATACATACACACACACACACTCATTATATAATAATATAATGTTTGTTTGTGGGATTAACAGAACTCAAAAACCACTGGACAAATTGGCACCAAATTTGGACAGGATACACCTAACAACCCAATGTATGTCCTTCACT